TTTTTGTTCTTACTATCAACCATCTCAACATCCTCTGGGATGATCTCTGTTCTTCTGCAATTACTTGATGGGTCAAATAACGAATGACTTCAAATTCCCAGTCCTATAAAAAAGGAAAACATGTCAATAATTAAATGTTGAATTATTACTTAATATAATATAAAAATATAAAAAATATTCAGCTTTACCATGAAAGCCCATGGAAACCAAAACAAGTTAATGGTCTTTTCTTCTAAAGGCCTCAACAAGTAGTGACAATTAGATGAAAGCTCTCATGACCCCACGGGTAGTTGTTGAAATCATCAATATCTTGACAGAAATTGACATACTTTAAAAGTATGTTGTTGCCCGGATCCTTCGGCAAAAGTATATTATGTGTAAAACAAAGTAAGCACAATGAGTCCTTGTTGTTCCTTGGTGTATCCTCCCGTTCCAACAAACTTAATAAGTCATAATTTTTAAAGTTTTTTCCCACAAGGGACATCAAGTCCTGCTCCTCAGTTGGCAGTGACTGTTGTCCTGCTTTTGCTACTTCTTTTACTACTTTCTGTCTTCTTTGTGGTTCTATTTTAACAATGTATTCAGGGATGGACTGAACAGGAGAATGAAATTTTAGTCCTCTAAATATGACAAATCTCTTATGCTAAAGAAAACTGGCATGCCACAATAATTAATTACAATCTCATCCTTCTTATTGGGATTTTCAAAGATGAACCTTCTTTTCAAAAGTTTATACAAGATGGTCATTTGAAAATTTGGAAGTGGATCAATGGGTAAATCAAGAAAATGACCAAAATATCTATTTTTGAAAAAAATCTTCCACTTGATTTCTCTTGAGGATATCCCTGAATCTGATGAAGGTCTTGCAGATGCACAGAGAAAGTGTATGCATTGATGATTTTAATTCCATCATTACCACTAGCATGAACTCTTCACGAAGTTCTTGTTCTTCTTCATGAACTTCATTTATTATTTCTTCTTGTGCCACAACTATTACTTCTATATTTTCCCCTTCTTCCTGCTGAACTTCATTTATTTTCCCTTGTTCCTCAACTTCGTCTTGTTTTTCATCTTCTTCCTCCTTTACTTGTCTTTCTTCATATTCTTTTTGACAAAATTCTACTTCTGCTTGAGAAGAAGAAACTGCTTCAATTTCAAGATTTTCTAAAAGTGTAGTACTTTTCGTTCCTCTTCCTAGCAATTTTAGACTTAGCCTTTTCCTGGATCTTTGTTTGGTCAGATGTATCAATATCAAGTTTTCTTTTGACAGGAGCCATTATATTTTTGTCTGCAACCACAAAAATAAAATATTTGAAAGGCACACATGAGCTACAACAATAAGTCAAAATAGGGCAATAAGCAGATAAAAGCTATTTCAAACCCTAATAAAATGTTACCTGAGAAGATATATATCAACGATAAAGTAGAAATTATGAGGATAACACCGCCTTGCTGTAGAAGATGACCTGTGAAGGAAGGACTAAGAGAAGAAGAGAAGAATACTAGCAAAGTAGAGAAGAAAACTGAAAAAATTACTTAGTATAAATAAATAAATCTTGGAATACGAAATGACATTTATAGAAGAGATGAGAGAGAGAGGAGAGAAGGAAAATGAATGTTAAAGCCGTTTAATGTATTTTAATTATGACAATTCAAACTGTGACATATGTTGCCACATATATACTATCTGTTGCTACATATATATGATCTATTGCCACATATAATTTTATCGTGTTTATTACAACACAAATTACATATGTTGTCACAGACAACACATTTAATCATTTCCATCATAATTGACATTTGTTTAAACAAAATCGAAATAATCATAAAAATATTTTAATTAACACTTCACCAATTGTTTTATACAAATTATCAACAAAAAGGTAATTTACAATGATATGAGATACATAACCACCTATCTAATAAATAGTTGTAAACACAATATTTTCATCGATCTTAGATTTTTTTCAATTCTACGCATCTCTGGGTCTTTATTGTTACTAACATAACCATTTTGAGCCTTTACAATCCCATAATTCCATAGGAGTGAAGCATATCTCAAACGAAGGGTGTCAACATTAATTCCACATGATGGTACTTCTAATTCATCACTCAAAAACTCAGCATATGCAGCAACAAAAATTCCACAATCTCTGCATGGTATATCATCAATAAGAAAATATAATAACATCACATTTCGATAGTCGTAAGACAAAATAATATTGTGATACTTACAGACTACTGCTTTCTTGTTGGGCAATATAGTAACATGACTGACTTCGAATGGGTGAGATTTGTTCTTTCCTTTGTAACATTTAAGAACTGACCAGTTGGTTCGCTCATTTTGCTCAAAAATCCACTCAACTCAAGGTACTTTGGCAACATTGCATCCATCTTTTGAATCTCAAAGGATAATTTTCTGTTAGACCTATTTGTAGACATGAAATCATACACATTTATACACCATTCCTTCAATGCAACGACTGTCAAGACCCAATGGAATTTCCCATTACTATTTACAGGGACATAAACATCATCTGCCAAGTGCCAGGGCAGTCCACAAGGTATACCAAACCCTTTCATCATGCCAACAATATTATCCTCATATTCACTAACATTGTCAATGTATATTTTGAAAAAACAACTAGTGGTGGTATATTGATATTTAGATTGAATCTTTTGTTTCGACTTCTTACGCAAATAGTAAAATATGACATCCACATACTGCACACATGCATAAAAAAAGTGTATCAATTTAATTGTATATATTCATGTACTAAACAATACATATAAAAGTGGGAATGTATTTACCTCATTATTCCAACACTTATTGGGTTGAGACATTACGTAGAACCAGTCCTTATTTGTTGGAAATGCAACTACTAAATCAAGTTGGTCAAAATCAAGTTTTAAGCAATTGGCTAAGTAGTGATCCTCCTTGTGTCCTCTACAATTGTGTAATCATTATAAATAAATATTTATTGGACAACAAGAATAAATTCTAATAATAGTTGAACGACCTTACTTTACTTACTTTTTTACATGATGCTTGTAAAGGACCCTCGTTTATCCATTGCGAGAAAGATGACCTTAGTTCAGTTGGAACCTCGCCGTCAATGTTAAAACTTTAAAATGGATATTGTCGCTTCACATCAGAACTGACAACTTCTACTTTCTTCCTTTTTTTCGCTTTCGCTTTTTCTTTCTACTTCATCTTCTACTTCTCCTTCTGCTTCTCCATCTCCTTTGTCTTCTTCTTCTTCTCCTGTTTTGCCTTCTTCTTTTTCTCCTTCTCCTCATTTGCCTTCTTCTCCCTCTCCTTCTCCTCTTTTGCCTTCTTCTCCTTCTCCTCCTTTGCATTCTTCTCCTTCTCCTTCTCGTCCTTCTCGTTCTCCTCCTTTTCCTTCTCTTCCTTTTCTTTCTTCTCAATAATTATAGAAAGTGTTCTAGAAATAGATTTTTTCAACCTCTTACACTTCAAAGGCTGTGAAGTCTTCTTGGATCTTTGCACATCAATATCATGAGAAATTTCATGTAATATATGAGTGAGTTTTCTAACACGACTAATAAAATAATCATGTTGCTGCTCACATTCTTTGAATAGACAAAAAAAGCATATTATGTTAGAATATTGAGTTATTGTCATGGATGAAGCTTCTTGTATCATTTCATCTACAAGGTAAATAAAAAACATTGAGATTTTACAATTTATTATAAAATAATAATAGCAGTATGTTTCAACAGATGGATAATCTGTTGCCATAAATTAACATTATGTTGCCAAATATGTACCTGCTGTTGCAAAACATAAAATTTTTGTCGCAACATATAGATCTTATGTAGCAACAGATGAATCATATGTTGACACATATATACTGATTATTGCAACATTTGAATCTTATGTGGCAACATATGATCATTTTTTTGACATAAAGTGAGATGTTACTACATATGATAACTGTTTGAATACTCACCAACATATCACTAAAATATTACAACGTACGCTAAATATTCAACAAATGAAATATATTTTGGACGCCTGAACAACACTATATTTCTAAAATCATATCAATAAAATGGACATAAAAAGAACAACAACAACAATAAAAAATGACTTTTCACTGAATGATAACAATACATGTACATTTCCTCAAAATAAGAATTTTTTGAATTGACTGATTTTCTTTCAAAAATAATAAATAATTCACACCATTAAGTCGATTATTCAATTTTTACATCTACAGAATGTTTTATTGTTCATTAATTCAAGAAAAAAACTTCAAAAATTATAAAATATTTTTAAAAAATAACTTACCCATTTCTAGTTTAGTCGAACACGATTACAATTCAGAAAGATAAGAGAGTAATGGAGGTATGGAGATAAAGAGTAACAACTGCAGAGGAAGAATAACGATGAGTTTTTGAATTTGTAAGGAAGAAAAAGAACAATCCCCTTTCCCTGAGGGAGGTAGAAAGAGAGAGAATAGAGGAAGAAAGATAAAAATATTTTTTCTTTTAAATGATTTTATTTGAATTATAAAATGTGCTTTTTATATTTTATAAAAGATAAGAAAATTTTAAAAATGTTAATTTGATCCCATAATTACTTAATTATATTTTAAAAAGGATTTGACGAGCTCTTAGTCTAAAGGAGACTTTGAAACCTTTCGCTTAAATTTTCTCGCTCAACTTCTCATAGTAATTCTTCAAATTTTCTGTCTCCAATTTGTTAAATTGCTACTTATATCCAAAACCCTAATCAGGTATATATGAAAGATTTTTATGGTGGTAGAGGTCCAACCAACCAAAGTTGGATGAGGCTCCACCCATTTTTTGACACATGATTTGTGGGACCTTTCTTAATATAAAAGTTGAAAAAAATAAAAAAGTAAATTGTGGGGTTGACAACATTAAATATGCACTTATATTAAAGAGAGAGAAGATGAAAAAGGTTCTTGAATTTATTTTCTCTTTTACAAAGGAGCTGGATTAAAATAAAAAGTAAGCAATAAATATGCACTTATATCTAAGAGAGAGAAGATGAAAAACGTTCTTGTATTTATTTTCTCTTCTAGAAAGGAGCTGGCAAAACATCAAAAGTAAATAGGGCCCTACAATATTAAATGTTAACTTAAATATTCACTTGAATCTAAGAAAGAGAAGATGAAGAAGCGTTTGGGTTTCTTTTGACTTCTTCAAAAGGGCTGAAAAAAATAAAGGTGAACAAGATTCTTTTCTCTTCTTCAAAGGACAAAAAAAATATGAAGAATTATCTACATTCAAATTTTCTAAGGAGAAAAAAAATCAGAAGTACCTATATACGTTTTTCAGGTAAGAATTTTTCTTCATATTTCTTGAACTCTTTAATACTATCAACACAACTAAATTAAAGGTTGCATATATATTATATTTGACAATAGATCTCTATGGATCTTCTTACTTGCATGTTACTTGTAATTCAAAATACAAAAAAAATATTTGTTGCATTGATTTTTATGCTTCAAATATCAAAAATTAAGATCTTCACCAAATATCAAATTGAATTTTCTTCAAATATCTCTTTGTTTAATAGTTGACTCTGCATGCAAGCTCCAAATTGTGAATTCAGATTTTGAGTCAAAAATTGAGGGAAAATGCTTGATGAACCTCCATGTAACTGCATATTTGATATAGAAAAAAAAATATCAAGATTGGTATATGCATGAATATAATAATAAACAATGAAAGAATTATTTAACTAATTAAAGAGAGAACAAACCTCAAAACTTAATCCCATAGATTTATGTTGTATTTGTTGCATTGAGACTGATTGCATGTCAAAATTTATTGTTTTTCATGTTTTTGTCCTGTTTTGCTTTTGAATGTCATCTGTGATGTGTTTTTCTTCTTTTTTTTCCTCACCTTTTGGCTTCATTCTTGAATATCCATTTTCCTTTCCTTTTTTTCTTAATTGGATCCAAAATTCGATCCTTGGCCCGAATTAAAGAACCAACGGATGAATCAAATTTCTGTCTGTTTTTGTCACAATTTTCACCATACAGTTCACTTTGATCCAGAAACCTCTTGTAGAAGATCTACTAGAGAGAAGCGAAGCTCAACACGTTATTCTCATGATGAGTATATTCTATTGACTAATATGAGAGAACCTGAAGGTTATGATTAAATCATGTTAGATACTCATAGAGATAAGTGGAAAGAACTCATCGTAGACAATCATGAGTTTTGTAGAAGTGTGGCAGACAGGAAGCCTGTCAAGAGATCCTCCACTTGAAGTCTTTTTGGCCCCTTGGCTAGAGGGGGAGTTTGTTGGGCTATTGCCCATGTTCCTGTTAAAGGCCCATGGCCTATTCCTACTTGGAAAAGGATTGGAATTATTCTCTTTATTTGGTTTCCAATTCTATTAGGAAGGATTGAAATAGTAATCCTATTTGTACTTGGTTTTGGCTTTGTAAGGAAAAGCACAACTCTATAAATAGAGGATGGTTTTGAGAGAATAATTAATTGCTCATTGGTATTGTCTTTGAAAGACATTAGAACATAAGAGAGGTTTTTGAGAGAGCTTTCAACAAGAGAAAAAGAGAGAAAGAAAAGGGTCCTTTTGCTGCAGTATTTTTCTCCGACCAGCAATGTTCAGATCGTATTTACTGATTAACGAACCGTTGGATCGGGCTTAAATTTGAACTGAGTGTTTTTGACATCTTGGCGGTTAATTTGAACGATGGAGATCAGATTTGGAGGTCAGAAAGATCATGTTTTAGGTCCCAAACAGAAGCTGAGTTTGTGTGGTGTTTCTTTCTATTTATCTTTTTTTTGGTGTAGCTATTGTTTATTCTCTTTTGGCACTTGTTGTGTATCTATTATAAGAATATTTGTAACTCTGTTATTGTTATAGTGAAGCAATTCGGATCTTGTTGATCCCGTGCTGGTTACCTTCGGATTGAAGGGTTTTTCCATGTTAAACTTGGTGTTCTTTATTGTTAGATTTTCGGTTTCAATTTTTCGTCACAACATTAGCAACATGATCCTTTCCACAATCTGTAAATAATCCATTTTTCATCATAATTTGAATGGATCTAAAATTCACATGACTAAGACGTTCATGCCATAAAGCTAAAGACTCCACAACATAAGCAAGAATATTTTCATTTTAAAAATTGAGTTTGGACATGCCATTTGTAGCATAACCTTTTCCAAAAAACATGCCTTGTTTAGACAAAATAAATTTATCTGCCTCAAAAAAATATTTTAAAGTCATGTTTCAGAAGAAGTGTACCTTACACCAAGTTCTTTCGAATATCAGGAACATGCAGTACATGTATCAATGTGGCCATCTTTCTGGAAGTGAATTTATGTTCAATAGTTCCTTTTTCCACAACCTTAACAAGGGATGAGCTTCTCATATGCAAAACTTTATAGCCCCCACTAAATCGTAGGTTGTGAAAGAATTTTTATTACTTGATATATGACGAGTTTCACCAGTGTGTATCCACCATTCCACTTGATCTCCCTCTATAAATGCTTCTGTGACCATTGCCACCGTTCTTTTTTTGTATTATTAATTTCCTTTTCTTTCTTCTTTCAGCTTTAAGAATTTTACAATCAAGTGCATAGTGACCAATATTATGACAATGATAACATTCATTCGACTTAGAGTTAGAATTAGTACGCTTGAAATTTTTACTCTTCTTTGCTTCAAAAATTTATTATTGGCAGGTTCCTTCTTAATCTTTTCTTCAACAACATGAGCTTTCATGATAGGCTCCTTCAAGATGTTATTTTCAAGATATCGTGTCTCTTGGTCAATTTGAAGTGTTTCAATTATTGTTCAACAGTCAAATTTTCCTTCTTGTGTAAGAGTTTGCTTCGGTACTTCTTCCAAGATGGAGGAAGTTTTGAGTCAATAGAACCAACATGAAAGTTTTCATCAAGACCAATTTAAGATCTAGCAATTTATTAGCTATAAATTGAAATGCTTTTACTTATTCAATGATTCACTTGTTCTCAACCATTTTGAACTCCATATAATTTGAATTAAGAAATTACGTTGAATTCGTCTTTTCTTCTAAATGGATTGCTTATAGAGTATCCCTTAGAAAATTTGCACTTAATATAATATTGGTCATAATATTTATTGGACATTCCTCTAAGAATGTAATTCTTGCATAAATAATCATTATCTTGCCACTTGATAATTTGTTATTTAATTAAAGTAGCCCCGTCGGTTTCTAACTCAGAACCAGGAGAGTCAGGACAAGGTTTCTCAAGAACATATGCAAACTTAGTCGTCGTAAAAAGAATTACATATTTCCACGCCATCTAGAAAAGTCTTTGCCATCAAATATTTCAAAATTAGGATTAGGCAAATTTGGAACATTGTTTGTTATTAATGTGGATGTCATCGAGACGACTATCTTCAAATTTTTGAAACAAATGAACAAAAATGAGATGCATATAAAAAATCCAAAACAAAACTTGCCTGGCTTAGAGGCACGATAATAAGTTTCTTGAAGATAGTTGGAGTCTCTCACACCTGCAATCGGAAAAACAAATAGGAACTCTATCTTTCGGAATTCAACTAAGCTACAAAACAAGTAGCATTCAGGAATGTCTCTTTGAATAAGTGATTTCACCTTTAGATTAATGTCTCACAAGTGTTTTCAAGGGAGAATAGTTTTTTCTTGAGTGCAATTTCTATTCAGCCAACTCAATTTATTGGACAAATGTTTTTGCAAGAAAAAGACTTTAATTAAATTGTATTTATTATAGGTTCATGAATTAAAAGAGAAACTTATCTTTCAAAAATCCATATCGTATAATTAAAAAAAAACTCTTTCAAAATCCTATAACATAGAAATAAAAACAAAAAATAATGTTGCATCTCACATTCTCTTATTTTCTTCTTTCAAAACTTTTAACGAATGAATTTGTTTAAAAAATAATCGGAATAGTAACTTCTACAGTAATTGCATGACAGATGGTCGTTGTTTTTTTTTGTCGGATCTTGCCTAATAGAGGGTAGCTTTATTATTTAGTAAGTCTTCTTGCTTTATAACATCTTGTTCTTGTGACAGAGTCCATGGGTAGCTCACTATCGTTGTCTCCACTTTGGTATGCTTTTCTTCCTCCTACTCACTATCATTGTTTGTTTTACTTAGGTGGTCTTGTGACAGAGTGAATGGATAGCTCTAATCCACCACCCTTATAAAATAGTTTTTAGAAAGTATCTTTTATTTTTAGCTAGAGAATCGAAATAACGTTTTAGGAAAATAATTTGTGACCTAGAAACTAACCTCATATATTTGATCTATGACATGACCCCGACACGTGTACTAAGATACAGCCTTGATGATTGATCCAAACTATGATCCTTAGATCTGACTAAGACAAGATCCTGACTTTTAACTTGAGACACGACTTTCAAAATGGATAGGATATCCGATCCAAGAATTGACACCGCCACTCAAACTCTGACGCGATTGACCAATCCAGAATTCAAACCTGTCACTCGAATCGAGACCTAACTTTCACATCAGGATTTTATCCAGACCACTGACAACCTATGCGAGACCCAACTTTTTAGTCAGGACCTGACTCATGAACCAACAACTGAGTCTATATTCTCACTTTTCTTGATATTAGTAAAAATAACTTGAAATCTTGTGTGATAGTTCATAGTTTTACTCCTTTGAACAGCGAGGATTCCGTATAAAAATCTTTGTATTTATTGTTAAGTACTTTATCGCATTCACGCAAACTATTAACCTCGTACTACGGTTCACTGTGGGTTACCACATCCTTTGGAAAAGCTACAACCTTTGAAAAAATCATAACCCTTCAGAAAAGTCACAACTCATTAGGAAAATGTCAAAACCCGTCAAAAAAGTCGTAACTCTTTGAAAAAGTCACAACTCTTTAGTACGAAAGCATATCAATATCTAATATAGTAAAAATAATTAAATTAATAAAAAAATTAAGTTTTTTTAAATTTGCGGTATTATAGTAATTTATCGTTCAATTTAGGAGTTCATTGTTTAAATTAGAATATATATATACATACACACACACACATACATATGTTCATGGTGTTCAAGTTTGATAGGAGGGTCTAGTTATTAAGGCTTGCTTTGTTTTCTAACATTATATTATTGCCTATTATTTGGGTATAAGGGTATCAGGAAGATATAAAAAGGAAATTAAATGCAAGATTGATCATATTTTTATACTTTTCTCTATATATCACTCAGAAAAAATTGAAAGTAACACAAACTTTCCAAGTTTTTTAATATTGTTTTTAAGTTGGAATAAATATTCTTTTCTTTTTCTAATTTCACCATTTTATATCTAATTATCCACAAAAAAACAATAACTCAAGAAGAAAATTTTCCAAACCTTACTTTCACAAAGAAATTTTTAAATGCAGTACATGTTAATATATATTGAAGAAAACTCGTGTTTGATAATATGTAAAATAATTTACTTTGATAATTAATGCTAATCAATAACTCTGTCTCACGACTCAGAATCAAGTCGTGATGGTGAGCAATAATCCCTCACGTAGGCAAGCCAAAAACCTAACAAGATAAAATAGAAAGACAACAAATACTTTTAAAATGAAGGAATAGAAGCATAAATAAATATACAGGATAGTGACGTGATACAGAATTGTAAATATGATATACAATATGAAAAATAGGTCCGAAGAAGGCCAAGAAAAATACATTAATTAAACGCAATAATCAATCTTCGGACCTGGTGTCACTCGTAAATGAGCATCTACATACAAAGAGGTTATATTTACAAGTTTGTGTAATTCAAAATATAGTACAAAAGAAAGAAACATAGCAAGCCTCTGGACATCAAGATCTCACCACAATCATAATCTACAACGATCACAGGAGGTCGATCGCTTTTTGAGAATGGCTCTTACTGAGAGATGCTTCAGAAAAGATGGAGAAATATAGTATGGGTACCAAAATATGGGGTACTCTGTAGGTAAAACAGGTCGACGAAGCTTAGAGATATCAAATATATATAGAGAAACACGACACTTCGAGAAAAGAGGAAAAAACACAAGATTGTGAGAAGGAAATAAACACTTAAGTACAAGATAATCATAACATACATACAAAAACTCACACAAATAGTATGATGCGATGCAAGTGATGAATACAAGAAAGTAGAAGCATGGAAGAATCCTCGATCCACCCAGAATGATACCTTAGACTCATCAACAAGTGGCAATTTGTAGTAAAATATAACTCATATCTCAATTAAAGGTCTGGCCAAAATGATACCTCAATGTCACACTGGGTAGAACCCTCTAGATGTAACCGGCATTGTCATCCTCTTTGAGGACTAAGACTAGCCTCTTAGCTTACATCATTACATTCATAGGTTAAAAATGCAGAAATTTTTAAAACTTTTCAGTGCTACTACATGGAGGTTTACATAGACCTCTACATACAAATAATATTTATATTTAGTATACATAGACCTTTCGTATAAGAAGATTACATAGTCTTCTACTTTTATTGCACCTAGAAGATAACATAGTCTCAAAAGCATGTCTCATCTCATAATCATTTAACGAAAGTGTAATAATGTGGGCCTAGTCCATACATCAATATAATAACACCACATATAGGTCATACAATGTCTAGTACTCAAAAGAAAGGGAAAAAACATAAGAGTCTTAAGACTAAAACAACTCCATAAACTTGATACCGGCATTGCCCTTGGAAAGTGAGGACCTACCCAACATGGACGATTGAGAATTCCAAGTCTTCTTCAATATCATTTTCAAAAGCCCTTTAATGATGGGAACCTAAAATATTGGGGAGAAAGGTAGAAAAGGGGGTTATTACACCACTTGTACTAAGTATGAGACCATATGCACACCTATCATAAAATCATGCTGAGAAAAGGGACAATTCATAACGGTATGCAATTTACTTTGAAAA